AACTATATATGTAATTTTTCTAAATTAACATCAAAGAAAAAAAAATATCATTTTATATTTATTTATAGTTGCATGATTTTGACTTTATTAGAATAATATACTAATTTTTTATATAGAAATGAAATAACCTGACTTAAATTTGCTTTACGAAATTGAAATAAATAACATTTTAAAAAATATTTCAATATTCTTACATCAATTCTTGAATCCAATGACAATAGCTTCTATAGGAATGTATTCATTTTTTAAAAAAATATAATATTGTTGGATGTGAAATATTATTTCATAATTCAGCATTGTTAATTATATAATTTCATAATGTTGGATTACCAAATATTGAGAATAAAGACATTATTTGTGAAGACATTTTAAAATTAAGAGACAAATTTATCTCCCTTATACTGTAACTTCGTATTTTCATTTTGCATTTTTTACAAAAAGAAAAATTGATTGAAAATTCTCCACTGAGTAACAAGGAACAAATACATCAAATTTAACAATAGAATATGTAACAATCGATTAATTAAGATGAAGAAAAGAAAGTAATAATGAAATATTCAAACTATTCAAATGCAAAAACACTAAATATGCCTGAAAATATTACAATACAAAAACATTTGTTAGTAATGAAAAATGACTGTATTTAAAATTGAACATAAAATATTGTGGTGAATGCAAATAGAGAGAATTTCATATGTTATTTAAGTGATTATTAAAAAGTAATTGATAATGGAATTTAGTTAAATATTAAAACATTCAACTAGATGGTCAGTCTAATTCCAAAAACAATAGTATATAAATCAACTTTGTTTTACAAATGGTGTTGTTACAGAAAACAATGACATCACCATGAGTAAGTTTTAAACTGTAGTGACCCAAATTTGTGTATTAACCTCCAGCACATCATAAGTAAAATATCAGTGTATTTGCTACATAATTCTCCACTGGAGGTACATTTTGAATTCTTTGTATTCTCTATCTTGTATTTGTATTTCTTCCAAAATAAAATAATCTCTCCATTACTTGTTTGATAACTTTCTACATGAACTGACATTGACTATTTATTTAAGAACTTTATTGACTACACATGACTCAACCATAAGTAACACTTATATTAACTTCTTTAAAATGTTGTTTAATATTTCAAAATTTGTATTTTTTTAAATAATCAGTATTACAGCAAGTAATGTTTGATTTTATCTTTTACTATTTTCCTCTATGTTAGTCTTTTGTTAATATAGTGCTGATAGAGTACATACTATAGTACATAAATGGAAAAATATTATTAAATTCACAATTAACTATTGTGCAGATTTGTAGATTATGATCTTGGATGTAGTTGAAGAGATAATTGAGATATTCTTTTACTTGTGACTCTTGCTGAAGAAAATGCTTGTTTATAAATACTACATACATTAAGTTTAACAAATGTTGTAACGAACATGCGCGGAAGCTTCCTTGAACTGCGTGTGTGTGTGTTGTCGCCAGACACACCTTGGAGTACCATAATGGACTTGACTGAGGACTACAAGAAGAAGACGTGTGAGTCGTTTGGCAGTCTTGGGTGCCGTTTTGCTCATTTGCTGTTGTAAAGTGTTCGTTTGGAAGAGAAGGCATTCGTTTCAGGTTCGCAAGAAGGTGTTCATTTCAGGTTCGTAAGTAGGCGTTCGTTTTTGTGTCACAAGAAGTTGTTTTTTTTTCCCTGTTTTCTTGCACAAATGTTATCAATGAATGCATTTTTTATCGTATCATCACCATTAAATAATATAGATAGAAAAATAAATAAACAAATAATAACAAAACGACCAAAATTTCGCCATCTCTAAAACAGATGTATATTCAGAATCACTAGACCATGACCTACCAAACAGAAACAGCCCTAACCAGGTTATGAACATCATAGTCTAACAAGCAAATCAGAAACAAGAACAGTTCCCAACCAGGATATAAGGTTACTAATCAGAAGCAAAGTAGCAATTTCAGAGCAGATCTCTAGATATGTTTATAACAAGATGTAAAGTCAACTTAAATCAGAACTGATGAATTAATTTAATCAATTCTCCACTTCAGTAGTCATCGTAACATACCCAGAGCCAAAATATGGCATGCATGGCCCACACAGTTTTGCAAAGACTCATACAATATCAATCTTCTTCTACTACTAGCATATAAGATGTCCACACAGTCCTGCATTCACACTAAAACATATATACTTCCTTCACCCACATTTCAAGCAAGGTGACTGTTACATTTGAATACATGTGTATCTACATTCCCCTGGACACACACACACACACTCTCTCTCTCTCTCTCTCTCTCTCTCTTTCATTTACATTTGAACTCTTGGACCTCCAACTTATTACTCTACCCTTCTGTATATATATTGTGTTATATAAAAATTTATTTTGTATATATTAACACTTTCTGCATTTTCTTTCAATCCTTGCACAAAACCAATATAGTTCCATGATGGGAATAGCCCTCATCACCCATCATATTAGTCCTTATTTATATTTGGTAGGGAGTTTAGGAAGATGGTTATTTATGGTTATTTAATACCAGCAATTAATAAATATTCCTCAATTAACAGTAATTATTATAATCTTATGATATAACACCCTTTGAAAACATTCTGGAAAAAGAATCAATTTCATAATAAACCTTTCTTTTAAAAAGTTTAGTTTATAAGTTCAGTTCAGTTTGATATAATAAAAAGTTTTACACAATTTTGACTCATGTAAATTAACAAAATCCCTAAAAGTATCATTGCCCAAAATGCAGTGAGCCCTTCCATATCAATGTCTTATTTCATAGTCACCATCTCAGATATTGATGAAATTTCTGTAGGTGATACCTGCACTAGAAAAAGAAAATCTTCATTAAACCTATAGTTCAGAAGTTATGACCTCTTAATATAGATTTGCCAAAAATGCATACTGAGAAATGTAGCTGAAATTTGGCTTTGTCATCTGACAATTAAAACAATCATTTCTCATTTAATTTTAACTCTGTCCATGTAGTTTCACGTTTATAGGCCTTTCAAAATAGTAACATTGCTAATTAGTGTTTTTGCATGGATTTACAGCTTAGAGAGACTAAAGCAAGAACAATAAAATAAAACGAAAGCAATGAAATACAATATCCACTTGATTATAATCATTTGATATATTGCCTTGAATAAAACATTGAATCATTGATTTAAAAAAATTAAATAATTCCTTGTTTATCAAAATTTACAACCACTACAGTAAAAAAAAAATCTCAAATTTTATATGTTTTAAAAACATGAGGAATATGTTAGGCAGTTGAATACAACAAGATATCCTTTCACAATACAAAGTAATAAAGTTTAGAGTTCTAGTTTACAGTTAATTTTGAAACATGGATGTATTTCAGCAAATATTGATGTTTTTGAAATAATTTCAATATAATTTTATGTTGTAAATTTTTATGCTTAAAAATTTATACAAAAGTAGGCTCATCCAATCAGTGGCTAGTATTCATTTAAAATTGTATAATGCCTATGCATTATTTAATTAACAATTTTTCTTGGAAAAGGGTCTAGCCTTTTTTGGGTAACCATGTGACCCAAGAGGGTATAAAAACTAAAGCACATGAATCATGAGCCAGAGTGAGACCAGAAGTTTCCAACAGGAAACCTGCAAATGTTTGTGAGAATCGCAGCCAAGTACAGTGAATCTGAAGAAATCTTTTTTCAAATATCACATCAGAATTTTCAATGCTCACTACAAAAAAGAAGCTGCCTCAACTCTTATAAAAACTGTATGACAAGTAATGTACTAAAAAACCCTTTTTCTCACACATTCATTCAATTTCAAATTACAATGTTTTCTAAAAATATACCTGACACATTTCACAAAGAAAAAATATATTAAGTGATAATTCTATTTCAATAACAAATTTATCATCTTACAAGCTCACATACCAAGCTCACAACATTTGTTAAATTCATTCATTCTCAAATTTATTATTTTAAATCCTATTTCTTAATATGTGATGTAATTGTAACAGATATAAATAAAAGGAAATCTCTCTGTGAACCATTCACAGTTAAAGGCAGACAACTTTGTTCGTTTTATAAAAATATTCTTGTGAGCAAAATTTACTGCTTTGTTTTAAAAGAACAGTATTTTACAATTTAAAAATTGACATACAAAAAAACAAAAAAAAAACAAAACAAATCAAGACATCAAATCTTACCTTGACTGAAATGTTCCAGATGAAAAGACAGTTTTGTGTAATATTCACTGTCACAGAAACTATTATTCTAACACGGTTGCCCCACCCCCTTAACCTCCGACATCTTACTCTCTGGGTTGAGGGGTCTACTTGGTCCTAACCAAACTTAAGGGAGTGGCCATAGGTCCCCTGAGCATCCGTAGATTATTCAACCGGTGCACTGGTTTAATCCTGCTTCCTGCCCACGTTGTGTTTGGTTTGATCCAGAAAGCAGAAGTGATGTTCATCCATTCATGGTCAACTGAAGATGTAGACATGGCTGGAGAGTCTGCACTAAGAAATTTAGAATGCAGCAAAAAAAAAAAAATTAATATCTGCAGAAAGCCGGACAAACAACTATTCAATGATTGAATTGTTAATGTCTTTTATATAACAGAAAAGAATAGTATAGAAAAGTAACGGTTTACAGAAAAGAAAAGTAATTGACGTAAAAACACATACACTGAATTCTGGACAGAGAGAGAGTATGTTATGATTAACTTCTTGTTAAATTGTCTCAGAATGATATACGACTCTTGTGATGGGGGAATAAGATTTCTGTGCGCGGATTAAAGTGTATAGTGACGTTCCTCCTTAGCAGTAGTAACAGTAGTAGTAATATTAGTGGTAGCAAAAGCAGTGGTACTTATATCAACAGTACATGTTAGCGGATGCTTTGTTCTAATCTCTGATGTCACTTTCTCTTTTTCTTGAGTTTCCATCTCGACTCTCCACTGTCTCTAGCCCAACTCTTGCCCTAGCTAATTCTCTTCTGTCTCTCTCTTCTGTCTGCCTCTTCCGTCTCTCTCTCTCTCTCTCTCTTCCATCTGCCTCTTTCATCTCTCTCTCTCTCCTCCGTCTCCCTCTTCTGTCTCTCTCTCTCTTCCGTCTGCCTCTCCTGTCTCTCTCTCTCTTCCATTTGCCTCTTCCGTCTCTCTCTCTCCCATCTGCCTCTCCCGTCTCTCTTTCATCCGTCTGCCTCTCCCATCTCTCTCTCTTCCATCTGCCTCTCCCGTCTCTCTCTCTCTCCTCCGTCTCTCTCTCTTCTGTCTGCCTCTCTTCCGTCTGCCTCTCTTTCGTCTCTCTCTCTCTTCCATCTGCCTCTCTTCCGTCTCTCTCTCTCTTCCGTCTGCCTCTTCCGTCTCTCTCTCTCTCTCTTCTGTCTGCCTCTCCCGTCTCTCTCTCATCTGTCTGCCTCTCCCATCTCTCTTTCATCCGTCTGCCTCTCCCGTCTCTCTTTCATCCGTCTGCCTCTCCCATCTCTTTCTCTTCCGTCTCTCTCTCTCTTTCTTCCGTCTCTCTCTCTCTGCCTCTCCCATCTCTCTCTCTTCCGTCTGCTCAAAGCTTGCCTGTCTGTGTTTTTCAACATAACTACGTGTTTATATAGATAAAACTAGGCTGGTTACAACTGACCCTTGGCCCCACCACTTCGCACACGATTATCACAGGGTTTTGGCTGCTTCAACCAAAATCATACTCAGCTGTATTTCAATTTTTAATCGATAAAAATTATTTTAACTATTTCTGTTGTCCTCTGATGACCCAGATTCAATGGGCACAACTTCTGCTCTAGATCAAATTTCCTCATCAGTAAACTAAATGCTCTGATCTAATTTTGCTATCCAAATCTTCTACAATTTCACTAAAATAAAAAATATACATGTGTGTGTGTTTCCCAGACTCTCTCTGTCACATTATGAGCAATACCTTTTAAAAGAAAATAGTGAAACTTTCCTGAAAGCAAACAAAAGAAAAACATAAAAAGTTCCAAAAGATACAATCTCTCTGAATTTTATTTCAGCAACAACAGATGTAAATTTCTGTATATAAATTGAATTAATTTTTAGGTTGAGTATCTGTTGTGTTGATACTCAACCTAAAAATTTCAAAAGGTCATAATTTCTTCTTACTTATAAGTAGGTTTTCTGTTTCTCTAGCAAGAGTATTATCTACTGAACCTTCATTAAAATCTGAGATGATATGTATGGAAACTTTTGAAATATTGGACCCAGTAAGATTGGTGTTAAAATGTGGTAAGAAAATGTTGATACAGCAGTATATGTAAAACTTAGCCTGGATATAATTATTTTGTAAAATTTGACTATTTCAATAATTAGCCTCTTAGAATACTACTTAAAAGAAAGTCACTGATATATTTTATGTTCACAGGGAATATATTTATATGAATTAGGTAGTAAGTGAAAATCACTTAATTGTAGTAATTACTTAGATGAGAAAATTTTTGAATCAAAAGTATATATTTAAGAGGCAATATTCAAAAGGATCAAATTTGTTGGCTGCCCTTCCATGTAATCATTAACTTCTAATTTTTAAATTATAATGAAAAGGGAACACTGAATAAAAATATATTTTATTGTTGATATAGTAGAAACTAAAAAGTAACCTGATAATGACGTTATTGTTAATAAAATTATTGTCAATAAAATGCCCTTTATTTGATGATACTTTAGGTATTTTGTTTAGAATTATTTTTATTTCCAATGTTAATGGTTTAGAAAAGAAAATTTTGTTATACATCTGGAAGACTTTTATTTAGGGACTCGTATCCATAGCACCGTTACTTTTCATAGTTTTAAACGTTAAAGAGAGTGAAAGAGAGAAAGTTTTAGAGAGTCACGCAACATCCAACCAGGTGGACCGACCCCAAAACGCGAAAGGCACTTTCTTTACGGGGATATTAACTAGTATCCTTCCAGGGGAACTTAACGGAATTATATTGAAAAAAAGGTTTTTTAGATAGCGGGAAAAAAGTAAGTATCTTTCTAATATGCATTTTGGAAACACCTGATTTTGGGTAGCAACTGTTGCTATGCAGACAGTCACTCACGCTTGGACGATGAATATTATTGCCTCTGTCATCTAGAAAATTAAAACATTTGACTATGACAAAAATCATATAATCTTTATTTGTAATCATATTTGTCTTCTCACGTGTGTTTCGCTTTACCATTTAAACAAAAATTTACAATTAAAATTAAAAATGTTCTTCATAAGCTGTTTTGTTTGCACATATTGCCAATTAATTCTTGACAAATCCTGTTCTTTCGTTTCAAACAGCGGAAAGTTTTTTTAAGTGATGAATAAAAAAAATTAACGTTAAAAAAGTTAGTTAAAGTACCTGCCAAGTTTTCAAAGTTTAAGAAATTGATTCAAAATTAAAAATAATGATCAATTCTAGTTGTCAGTGTTTAAAAGGAAAACTAAACATCACAATGTCTTAATAATTTTATTAGCTAAAAATACGAAATTTCTTCATTAATTCGATTTCACTGTTCTCTTCTATTCGATTTCCAAGTTTAAGTTTTGTCAGTTTGTTGTTGTTATTAACTTTCAAATCTGTTGCTTGGAATTGCAATTCCAATATCGTTAATAAAAATAAGGATTTTAATTTAAACCTCCGACGAAACTCGAACTCGCTTTCCCTGTCTGTGCATTTTTATTTTTAATCTTAAAGAAATTAGGTTTCTTAATGTTCTATTTATGATCTTTCGTGTACAAATGTATGCAAAATAACAGTTCTCTCTGAGACAGAAAATATATGGAGCAACAATTTTTTTTTAACCTTTCTAAACAGTTTTTTTTTTTTTTGTAACCAAACCTTTTTTTTTAATTTAATTCTTAAAAGAAAGAGTTAAGAAGAAAACTGAAAAAAAAAAAACTTTTTAGGGTTGTTTAATTTGTTAATTTTATTGTAGTTTTTTAGCTTTGTCAATTTAAGTAGCTTAACAATTTTTATTACTATGAATATATTCAATTTTGTATTCTTCAGACATAGTTGGGCATGTGTGTGCATGTATTGTAATGATGTCATTTTTTTTATATTTTTCCTTTTCCAAATAGTTAAAAAAAAGACTGACTTGACAGTTTTATGGCTGATAAAATAAAATGAGTACCGCTATAAGTAACTATAACAGTAACATTGTTAATAATAACACAAATGTACTCACAGTTGTACTCTGATATGATGATCAAATTGATCATATATAAAAATAAAGTATATGCTGAGATTAGTAGTTCACTCAGGATATTTCAAAACTCGAAATACCTGGAAGAAATAAATAAATGAAATAGTCTACAGAAAAAAACTATTACTAATATATGTATTTTAAATCACAAATGTTTTAAATAATAATAAAAAGTTGTTGGTAATTTTTCTCTCTTTTTGAAGTTAGAAAAATAATTACATCTAAGAAAATTGGAGGTTATCTGGAGAAACGCGTCTACTAGCCATATTGGGATGGAAGAATGTGCATAGGTCTGTGAAGACTGAAAGTATACCAAAGATTTGTACTGGTAACTGTACTAATACCAGGATGACGAAAAGTACTAAAAAGATATGTGTGGAATTGATCGACTGAATACTTGTCACACAATACAAAGAAAATCTATGTGTACATTTTTACACTGTCTGAATGAAGAGATGCTGATAATTTCTTAAGCCGATCCACTTTCCAAAATCTAACCAACCATAATGACCCAACATTTTTATTTTTAAATTTGTTGTTTTTTTTTTTTTTTTTTTTTTTTTTTTACGATGATTCTTCTTAGTTATTTTGGTCAGGTCGAAATTTTTTTAAACACTCCCTCCTCAGTCCTCATATATAAATTAATGAATTAATGTATTTTAAATAATTGTAGAAGGGTAGATCTGTGATTTTGAGCAGGGTGGAGTGCAAATGTAAATATTGAGGGCACTGTTAGTGACGATCAATGTTTTTTGCAGGGTGTTTCGACGGGGCATTAATTTTTTTTTTTTTTTTTTTTTGTTTTTCCTCTTATGTTTCAGTTTAACGTTCTAGAGATAGAATTGACAAGAGTAAAATAAAAGTACACAAATATATTTGCCCATAATCCAATAAATCTATAAAAAAAAAAAAAATATAAGTATACCTTTCCAGCCTTCAATTTAAATTTAAAACAAAACAAAATATATTTTTGTTTTGAAAGTTATGATTACTTTTGGGTTTATTGGGGTCGTATATTAAAAATAAAAAGTAAAAACTATTGCATTTTGTTACTTTGTATTTTTCTCAGCGGGGCAAGGGTTCGCTACGACTTATCCTATATCCTTCATCTCTGCGTCAGTAATGAATAGTAAGAAAGAGGGTATCAGTTATGCAGGACCCATTTAGGGAAGATTTCGCGTTTTTAGGCTATATTTTTTACTAAATGAATAGAATTGCCAGAAAACTCATTCACAAAAAATAATGTCTAAGGCGATGGTTCCATTTAATTTTAGTATTTGTTAAATTTCTGTTGAGTTAAAGATACCATAATTTTCTTTTAAATTTATTCTGACTGCAATTTTTGTTACAGTATCTGCTGCTTACCTTTTAGTGCAACTACACAGACAAATGTGAGTTTAGGTAGAATATTTTCTGTAGTTCAGTGAATACACAAAAATAGAAAGAGGAATAACACAATGTTTTTTCAGTAGATTTATTTAACCTATACAGTGAGACAATCTTAAGAAAATAAGACTTGTAGGATTGCTTATTGGGAGACATAATTTTAACAATATACACAGATGCTGTGTTGAAAACTTGAAAAGAAAACTGAAAGAATTCTTAAACAAGATAGCCAAAGAAACCAAGAAGAAAGGTCTTACCATTAAGACATAGTTGTCGGCATAAGACAGCTCAAGGTATTGAAGATGTTCTAATCAAGCAGATAAAGATTTTTATTTCTATCTGGGCAATTTAGTAAGAGATGACAGAAAGTGACACAGAATCCAAGGGTACATAGGAATAGCAAAAAATGTCTTTCAGAAACAAAGGCGAGTGCCGAATGACGAACTGCCATGTAATATCTAAATTCCTTTGTGGCAGCGAGTGTTGGACAGTCTTCTCAAAGATTAATGAGATGAAGTAAAAGATGTGGTTTTATTGATGAATGCTAAGAATACCAGATAGAACATGAAAACTAGGATCTACAATCAGAATCATACAACTGAAATTCCTAGGACATATAATCCCATTGACCAGCACTGAATGTAGACTGTGGTGTCCAGTCACCACCCCCTTTCCAAATTTGTACATGCAGATTGTGCGTGGGGTCTTCATCTACACTACATCTCCAATTTTGTAGGTTGCATTCTCCTTGCATGCTGGTGGAGATATAATGTCTATCACTTTTGCCTTCACCTGTTAGGTGTACATTCCATTTTCCACACTGAAGAGGATGATGTATTTATTGTCCTTTGGTGTTATATTGTAGAGATACACTGCTTTCTGGAAGCAATGTGCTTGATGGTGTAATGGCCTCTTTCCACTATGCCATTCCCTGCCAGGAAATGAGTACATCAAAAGTGCAAGTGGACACCCCAGCCTTCTGCGAATTTTCTGAATGTGCTCTCACAGAATGCCACACCATTGTCAGTGAGTAGCTCGGTCAGTAGTCCTCGTTTGAAGAATATTGACTCCAGCTGCCTGATGACACTGGCAGAGTCCTGAGGAAACAGTGGTATCAGATGGAGAACCAAGTGGAGCTACAATTAATCAGTGTCAGGTGGTGTCTGCTGCTAAGGTGGGTCACATCCACTCCTACTCAGCCCCAAAACAGGAGAATAAGCCTTACATCGAAAACTGCCATCCATCTTAAATGCCAAAATAACTTGTGAAGAATCTTCTGCCTATGTCTTCTTTACCACATTCTCATCTGTACTACACACCCCTTTCATCATCTTCAGTGTTCTTTCTCTCTACTAGCAAGCAATGTAGCCCCCTTATGTAGTAAGCAGCAGGTGTTAATACATTTGCATAGGTGTGATGTCCATTTCATAAAATAATGGTCGTTGCATACGTGTGCCTGTAGGTTTCAAACTGGATTTCCTGCTACCACTGCGGCAATTCAAACATGCTTCATACTAAGCCATACGTAAGCCATGCTCTGCGTTACTATACAGTGAATGACCTATTTGATAAGTTTGTGTGAATAAATGGCAGAGCGGAGGCAAAGAAGGATTGTAAAAGTTACTTAGAGCAACAAAAGACAAGAAGCTGTAGAGATCCATGACCACGTAAATCCTGAAATTGATTGTTATATATTCTCGGGTTGTGGGATCATCCATGGTGAGCATCCCTGCATTTATTGCTTCTTACATTTAGTCAGTTTTAGGTATATGAGCCTAGAGAAAATGTTTTAATACCTCCCCTTATTACTAATTTATGGTGTACAGTAAGAAAACTTTTCATGACAGCCATAAAATGTGATGGTTTTTCCTGTGGAAATGAATGCACACAATATTTATTTTTGTATGAAAATATAAAAGAATATAGTACAGGACTGAAAACTTTGGGGAAGAAGGTGTTATCTTGAATAATTTATCCTGGCATTAACTTAGCCACATTTACTGTCCCAAGCATTATTCATTGTTTCTTTTTACCATAACATAGCATTTATTGTGAATCTTTCATACAACATTTATCCAAAAGTTACGTTTGTGCAAATAATAAAAATATATTTAAAATTTCATGTGGGGAAAGAAATAAAAAAATTGATTTATATACTACAATTTAAAATTTTTTCTTTGATCATTAAAATGAAAAAAATTTACAAATATGTCTCCTAGCACAAACAAATATGGCAAACAAAAAAAAAAAATTAACTGGTCAAAAAAAATGATGTGAGAAAAATTTTCTTTTTGTGTGTTCAATTCTTTTATAAGATGAGAAAAAAAATTTCTTTCTTGTTCCTACCCAGACTAAATACAGACACTGCAACTTTTGACAGTATCTCTCCTGCAGAACTG